AGTAGCTGATTCTGAACAAAAGTTGAACGCGTTCTAGTGCATATTTAGTCAATGAAATGTAAACACAACAGTACATATTTGACCACTTATTTTTTGACATTTTAGGGGAAGCTGAGCTTCCCTTGCAGTCTTAGAGCAGTCGTCACTGCTCAAGACGTTTATTTGTAGAAATGTGCAGCCACACCAGGCTAGTCAAAGGGACTGGGTGTTTAATTGGGACTAGGCTTTTATTTGAAGTATTACAGTTCATTCTTTTGATCTAGTGTTATTTTGGTCAATATCTTAAAGGGGCAATAAGCGGAAATTCATAATTTATAGATTGAAGGATTTAAAAAATCGCTATGTGAAGAACTAGAGGTGTAATTTCATCTGGAGTATAGCATGACACCGCACACCCTCTCTCTGTTGATCTCCAGCCTCTTGTTTACAAGCCGGTCCTGCTGTGCGTTCATGTACGTTCATGTGAATTGCCGCCTCCTCCCTCCTCTCGGAGCCCTTGGCCCTCCCTCCCTATAGAAGGCTACAGCCAGTGAGCAATGGCAACGTGTATTTTCGAAGCAAAATGGCGGAGAGCGGAACAAAACTTTCACCTGAAGACAACCAGGATCCGACATTACCTCAACAGGGCTTGACGCTAACTTTTTTCCCAAGGAGCACATGTGCTCCGAAGTTGAAAAAGTAAGGAGCGCACAAAGAACTTTAGGGGCACAATGTAAATTGATCAAATAATGTGTTTTCCGTAATAAACGTGATGCAAATAGACATTTACAAGCAAAATTATTTAATGAATTTGTATACAAAATGTACAGAAAGGTAAAATCATCAAGTTTAGAAAAAATATTGCGATTTAATTTTGTCTTTAATGTTATTATCTTACAGTGCCCTCCAAAAGTATTGGAACAGTCAGTCCAATTCGTTTACTTTTGTTGTAGACTGAAAACATTTGGGTTTGACATCAAAAGATGAATATGAGACAAGAGATCAACATTTCAGCTTTTATTTCCAGGTATTTACATCTGGGTCTGATACACAACTTAGAAGATAGCATTATTTGTAATGGAACACAAAATTTTTAGGTGAGCAAAAGTATTGGAACATATAAACTTAAAATAGATTAAAGTGAATGAGACTTAATATTTAGTTGCAAATCCTTTGCTTTCAATAACTGCATCAAGCCTGTGACCCATTGACATCACCAAACTTTTGCATTCTTCTTTTGTGATGCTTTTCCAGGCTTTCACCGCAGCCTCTTTCAGTTGTTGTTTGTTTTGGGGGGTTACTCCCTTCAGTCTCCTCTTCAGCAGGTAAAATGCATGCTCTATTGGGTTTAAGTCTGGAGACTGACTTGGCCAGTCTAAAACCTTCCACTTCTTGCCCCTGATGAACTCCTTTGTTGTTTTGGCAGTGTGTTTTGGGTCGTTATCTTGCTGCATGATGAAGGATCTCCCAATCAGTTTGGTTGCATCTTTCTTTAAATTAGCAGACAAAATGTTTCTGTAGACTTCTGAGTTCATTTTGCTGCTGCCATCATGTGTTACATCATCAATGAAGATGAAAGAGCCCGTCCCAGAAGAAGCCATGCAAGCCCAAGCCATGACATTACCTCCACCGTGTTTCACAGATGAGCTTGTATGTTTGGGATCATGAGCAGATCCTTTCTTTCTCCAAACTTTCGCCTTTCCATCACTTTGGAAAAAGTTAATCTTTGTCTCATCAGTCCATAAAACTTTTTCCCAGAATTTTTGAGGCTCATCTCTGTACCTTTTGGCAAATTCCAGCCTGGCCTTCCTATTCTTCTTGCTAATGAGTGGTTTGCATCTTCTGGTGTAGCCTCTGTACTTTTGTTCATGAAGTCTTCTGCGAACAGTAGATTGTGATACCTTCACTCCTGCCCTCTGGAGGTTGTTGCTGATGTCACTAACAGTTGTTTTAGGGTCTTTCTTTACAGCTCTCACAATGTTTCTGTCATCAACTGCTGATGTTTTCCTTGGTCTACCTGTTCGACGTCTGTTGCTTAGTACACCAGTGGTTTCTTTCTTCTTCAGGACATTCCAAATGGTTGTACTGGCTATGGCCAATGTTTGTGCAATGGCTCTGATTGATTGTCCATCTTCTCTCAGATTCACAATTGCTTCTTTTTCACCCATAGACAGCTCTCTGGTTTTCATGTTGGTTCCACCTCTAAATGCAGTCTGCACAGGCAAAACCTATCGTACCCAATCTGAAACTGAGCTCAGACATTCAGTGCTATTTATTGTTTGAATAATCAATGTAATTGGGAGACACCTGGGCAACAAAACACACCTGTCAGTCACATGTTCCAATACTTTTGCTCTCATGAAAAATGGGTGGGTTCAAACAAAAGGTGCTATCTTCTAAGTTGTGTATCAGATCCAGATGTAAATACCTGGAAATAAAAGCTGAAATGTTGATCTCTTGTCCCATATTCATCTTTTGATGTCAAACCCAAATATTTTCAGTCTACAACAAAAATAAAGGAATTGGCCTCACTGTTCCAATACTTTTGGAGGGCACTGTATATATATTATCTTTGCAAGATGATTATCTTATAGCCTATAATGTTCAGTGTTTCCTCATCCCTCAGTTGGGACCCATGGTACAATACCAGTGAAAGTATCATGGTTCTGAGGCAAATGTGCCTTTTGTCATTTATAAAAAGATAAATCACTTTTCTATAATACATCACTGATATTTCAATGGAATAAATTACTTATTGACTTATTCATACTTCAAAAACAGCATCACTAAGTGATTAACATAGGGTGGATCAAAATAAAATAAATGAATGAAATAAAAATCAACCAGCCACCCTCCTCCCCTGACAAGTCCCTTCATAAGTAACGAACAGTCCCTAAAGTTTCTCCTCTGATACGACACATACTGTGTGCCCCCATGGCTCAGCTGTTCAGGTACTTTTGGGCAGTCATGACAACAAGTTATTCACCTGGAGCCGGACTTCTTCGCCGGTAAGCCGTTATAATGCGCCACCGTATCTGACAGGAATAGGTATTCCTGTCCGTGTCTGTGACCCCCGTTCAACCCACAACCGGCGGGATTCGCCGTTATTGTTTATCGCCTCACTGCCGACATTTTACTCCATCCGTCACCGCACGCTGTTTGATTGCGTTATCAAAACACGCCGCTATTATTCGGCCTTGCTTTTCACTTATTCCACCAAATACCGAATGTGTGGGTTTTTTTTGCAATATTCGGCCGAATATATTCGGTGCATCCCTAAATAGGAGCCTTCCCCCACTCCCCACTCCCCTCACCGCTGTTCTCCTCACTATACTGGCTGCTGCGCTGTGCAAGTGCACAGATGTCTCAGAGTGGTGGTGCACTTGCAAATGTTTTGAAGGAGCAGCAGCGACGGCAATAATAACGAATGTAGCGGAAACACTGATGTTATTACTATCCTAAAACATTCTCAAGGTCCTCTGAAACTCTCCAGGACTTACTTCCATCCTGCCCAGCAGCGGTACCGTGGCGAACGTCCCTAACTGCGGGGAGAACGGAGCAGGCCTCCCCGGAGGTCCGCCGCTTTTCCCGGTCCGTCTCCTCCACACTTTGACTTATTTCCACGCTGCCGACAGTGGGACTATAGGCCTATTCACTGTGCCGACAGTGGCTTGGAAAATCGGCCATAACGCCAGGGCCTGCCCTGCCTGCGAAGCGCAGCGCACCGAAATTCTCCCGCGAGCCAGAGCACTTCCGTACACATCAGACGCGCATTTCTCCACGCTGGTCGACAAGCGGTTCTGCTCCCAGCTGTTGTCTTCGTCACAGTTGGGGCTGTTTTTCCATCATGGGTAACTACCCAGCTTGACACATTAGCTCGCGGCTTGCGCAGAAAATAGACCAGATGCCGAAATGATCGCTGCAGGGCCGATGGCGGAGTTGCGCGGTGCGGCCGGTGTGGATGGCACAATCGGTTAACATGGGCGCCGAAGGGAAACTGGCTTCACTTCTCGGCACTTCGAGGCTATTCGCGGCGCTTCCGCGGGCGCTGTGGTGCTTAACCGTATCACATGGGGAAGAGGGAAGAGGGAAGGCGGCTGGAGTTCCTCCAACGTTTGCGGTTAGATTATCATATTTTTTTATTGACAAAAATATAGGCTGCTTCGGCTGATTTTTTTAATGCGCACACATGCCCCTAAATGTTTTTTACAGTTCACACACACCTATTTTTAGTCGTAAATGCGAGTGAAACGCTCGCACTGTCGAGCCCTGTACCTCAAAAGAAAGAAGTTGTCGGATAAAGAAAGGGACAGAACCCGGATTAACATTGGCCTTGCATTTCCAAGGTGGAGAGCTAAAGGGGCTACAATTTGACTCGGAGCTAGCTCTTCTTCTCCTGGACAGGTAACAGTTAAGTAACAACATAAAGTCAAATGTCTGTTTTAATTAGTGTTACAGTAACGTTAGGCACATGTCGCTAAGTTGTTTTAGCTGGGCTAAAACATCAGAAGTAGAGGGAGGTGTGGCTCATGACACACTTTGTTTTGGTCTACAGGCAGTGCACAACAGCAAACCTAGCGGTGAAACGATTTCGCTTTTTGCCCCTTTAAGGTATTGACTACCGATACACAGTGTAGTGAGTTCCTTTGTTCATCCAAATTCAGATACAGTTTTTCTGGTTCAGCAGGCTGTTTTAAACAGAACTGCTGAACATCTGTCAGGGATGAGATGTTGAATGTTACCACCATGCAGTCATTTGTTAAATATAATCACTTGTGTTCTTGCTCTTTTTGTCTTTGTTTCACTGCCGCGCTTGTTTTTTAGTAAATATCCAGACAGCCTGACAGAAGTGAAACTGCACAGTCAGCGAGTGTGGCTGGAGCTTTTGGAGTCTGCATTCTCTGAACAGCTAAAGGGAATGATTGAGCACAAAAGCAGAGACGCTTGCTTCATTTTATTAATATTGCATACCAGTTGGGAGTTTTTCTCACAGCACCAAAGAGCATAAAACAGAAACAAACCTGAGATCGTGCCCGTTCTCTCATCTTGCGCTCTCGGCGGTCCTGGACAGTGGACAGGTAGTTAACAGCTGCGTACTCCAACACAGACAAAAAGACAAAGACGAAGCTGACCCAAAGGTAAATGTCCACCGCCTTGATGTAGGACACACGGGGCATGGACGCATTCACTCCAGTGATGATGGTGGACATGGTCAGCACTGTGGTGATGCCTGGACACAAGATACACAATGTTCTAGTTAAACTAAAGTGCAGTCTATTTTTACTTTCACAGTGTAGATGTTGTGGTCCTGATTTTCTGTGCAGTTGTGTTTGCTCCTATCTGATCCTTCTCTCCCTCTCCCTGCAGAGTGAGTGCCGAGGGGCGGGGCGATCTCTGGGAGCACTGGGCTCCCGGCACACCTGCAGCTCGTTCTGCCTAATTAGCCGGTTTCTTAAGCCACACTCTCTTTGTCTCCAGTGCTGGATTATTCTCTTTGCCCTAGCATTATGCTCGTGCTCTCAGTGATCTCCTGCCTCCCGCCATGTGTTTATGCTCCAGTGTTGGTCTCCAGGTTTAGTGAGTTTTTGTGCCTTGTCACTCTTTTTGTTGCACTTTTGTTCTTGCTCTTTTTCCCATGTTAATGGTGATTTTCTGTTTAGCCTTTTCTGTTGTTACTTTTCCCTCAGAAAGAGTTTTGGTTGATACTTTGTTTGCTCGTATTTTTCTGTGAACTGATTTTTTTGTTGCTACTTTGTAAATAAACTGTTTTTGAACTTAACTCTGCAACTGGGTCCTGGCTTCCTTGTCTGGCATGCAACAGTAGACACAGTATAATAGGCTGCTCTGGATAAAGACACTGACCCAGTGTTGGGTAGCTAAAGCTATAGAGCAATAACATGACCAATTTAGGGCCTGTAAACACACATTTTGGGCCCTGAAATCCACTGTTTTCAATGTAGCTATTTCGAGCATTACATCCATCCCACAGACATCATTTTTGGCTTAAAATACTCTTGAAAAACAATGCCCGGAAGAAGATCACCTCCAAACTTGATTTCTGGTTAGTAGGCTATTATATAATGGTGGTTATGGTCGCTTAGCAACGTAAGACACAACCTGCCCCTGTGCCCTAGGTTAGCACAGAGTTGGCAAAAGAGTAGCAACCAGCACCCCTGCTCGCATTTTCTAGGTGTTTAGAGATGCAGCATGTAGCCACCCAATTGTTAAGTGGTTTGAGACGGCCAGAGTCCTGCACCGGGTTGGGTACCTGTGGGTACATGAAAAAAGTGTGGACTATATATGTGATATTTTTACATTTTAATCACTATTATCAAGCCACAATTCCTTCTATTTTTAAAAGTCAACATGGTCCAACAGCCCTGCAATAAATACCACCCTGACAAGCTCTTATGAAGATTTGCAGGTGAGAAGGAGTCAGTGCTGGAATAATTGATGATCCATTATACATTAAATTGTTATATCAATATTATCATTGATACATTGTGTAGGCATCACTTGCATAAAGGGATGATCATTGTAAATACATTATACTACTGGTAGATTTTTCTTCTAACCATAATGCATCAAAATGTGTGTTGATTGTATTGTGTATTGTATTGTCTGAAAACTAACCAGATGAAGTTATATTTAAATAATATATAAATACATTTTACTTTCAAGTGTTTAGAAAAGTAACCCTACAGCACATTGGGACATAAAGTAGCGTTAAGGAGTTGTTGCATCTCTAAATGCAATGATGTTAAAAGAATGTTGTATGCAAAACTGGATGTTTTTAATAATTTATGAATAACCTTTAAAATGTAGTGTTTTTTTTTTTTTTTTTAATTATCAACGGATTCTGATAGTCTGGTGACCTGTCCAGGGTGTACCCCGCCTCTTGCCCTATGTAAACTGGGATAGGTTCCAGCCCTACCCCAGCTCTGAATAAGATCAGCAATCATTAATAATAAATAAATCAATAAATGAATGTCAGAAGATTCCAGGAGAAGAACAAAGTCAACAACACTGTAAACCCCAATCCATACATGAGGCAACATTTTTATGTTAAGTCAACACAAATGCCCTAGATTGTCAAAATAAAATAAAAACTTTATGTTCACTTGACACAAAAACTCATCCCTTGTGAGCTGGATTAATTCGTTCAAGTTAAGTCAAAACATTTTGAGTTTATTTTACTGTCTAAAGTCAACTTTGTCTAATTAGTTTAAGACCAACACTGTCATTGTGCACCTAACATATTGTGGTGTGTTGGGGCTAAATGGATGACGTTTCCCAGAATGCCGTGATACAATGTATTAAAGGCCATAAGCCAAAGAAAACTGTTTCTGAATGTGCTCTAAGTCACTCACGTTACCCATTACACAGTGATTAATGTTTATGTAAATTACAATAGCCCCTTTTACACTGCCAGATTTTCCGCGAATGTTGGGCCACTTTGCCGGCAAGCTGCGAGCGTTTAGACACAGAGCCGGATTGGCGAGTTGATCCGAGATGTCCAGTTTTCCGCCTCGTGGGGTAGTCATATTGGTGGAACCCTTTTAGTTTAAACAGAGTGAGGGGGCCTTCCGCAACGGGAGGGGCTGTTGAAGACTTGTGCGAGGAGCTGTTGATGACGCCGCACGTGCGAGCCACTGGCGGTGGATAAACAGGAAACAGCTGATAGCAGGAATTAGCGAGCAGCTGGGGAGACAAGGAATTGCGCGCCCTCCTTGCCCTCACAAACGAAGAGGCCATTAACTGTCAAATGACGGGAACGGTGAAGAACGGGCCGACTTATGAGAGAATTGGCGAAGGACTGACCAGCCGCGGCTTCCCTCGGAGTACGTCACTGTTTACGTCACATGCTGAGCTACACATTTTGTTACTTGCTCGCGCCCCCCATTGCACCAAAAAAGCCGTATTCTGTATAAACAAAAGTAGGTAGGCGGCATTTTGCTGCACTCCCTGATTTTGTTTTTATACTGCCAATGCTGAAAAAAGACTGATTGGGCTTTCCTGCAAATTTGCACAATTCCTATCTAAAAAGGGCTAATGGTTCTAATGCGTTACAGTTAATGGTAAAAGACATTTTGCACCACGAGTTAAGTTGTTTACACAGTAAGTGAGCTCCCACCTGTGTGGATATTAGAATGTCTAACATAAAGTTGTGCTGAGGTGAAATAAAGAACACTTCCTAATTAATGTTGTAAAATGTGTACTCAATGTTTTAATGTTTATATAACATACAGTATAATTAAATGCCCAAACAACAACAACAAATGTCACGTTAAACTGACATAAACTCAAAACTTTTATTTTACTGTATTGTACTAAACTAAAAGTTTTGAGTGCAAGCTGTTTCCAAACAAGTTGAATAAGTGAACTGGGGTTTACAGAGAATATGTCTTCTGCCTGTGTGTCACTCGGACTGAACTACCGTGTCCCCCATCGGTTTCTACTTAAAAACGACTCGTACATATAAAGTTTCATTAAAAATATACTCAGTGACACCTTAAACAGTTGGCCACTGTAGCAAACTGTTTTTAGCCCACTTTGCTCATACACGAGGAAATAATTTATCTGTTGGGGAATATTTTCAGCAGCGGATTAATCCAAATTTGGTGCTCTATTGAGTATTTGGGCCAGCAAGACAGTGTGAGGTCATGGTAGTGAAGGAACATGTTACCCAGTGCAACAGTGTGGCCCAGTGATGTGTTACTGATGACAAAGGAGCTCTATATATGGTATAGAGAGATATATCTATCTATACACACATGCATGCACGCATGCATGCACACGCACACACACACACACATATACAGGAGAAGAGACAAACAGGAAACACTTGTAAAAATATCCCATCCTAACAGCTGAATTTAATAACAGCAATGAGATGAGCCAGGAGAGGATCTCAGCAAGGGGGAAAACAGGCACCCATATGACAAGTACAGCAACAGCCCCAATACAGAAAATAATTCAAAAGAAAAGTGAGAGTGGTAGAGCGTGGGAGGTTTGTGTGTTCACGCATGCATGTGTGTGTTCCCAATTTGTGGAACCATGTCACAGCCAGCTTTCATCATTTCACAGACAGATTTTCCTCAGGCACGTACAATCTCTTCAAAGGACATTTGACAAGAGGCTTTTTTTTTTTTTTTACCCAGGGAAACTCTGGCCGGCACAGCACGGCGGTCGATCCAGAACGACACCCATGAAAGCATCACCATGAGTGTGGCAGGAAAGTACGTCTGGAGTAGGAAGAAGAAGATGTGGCGTCTCAATGTGAAGTTGATGTAGAGCCGATTGTACCAGCCTGCAAACACAGTAAGAGATGTGCTCAGACAAGGCACTCAAGGGTTCAATGGATAAAGTGGTTACACAAAACATGGTCAACATTTACATGAGGTTTAATTTTCTACATTGAAGAAATGTGCTTATTATAGTATGTAATAGCCTTATTAATAATGATGATAATATATAATGATGTCATTCAGATAGAGTCCCTCAAGGTGCAAAATCTGTGACTTTTGACCTCTAATATTAGTAGTATACCCAAAAATTTAGGCGTCACACATTTTCTTTTTACTTGTGTCTGAGTCTATGCACATTAAGAAACATGCAATCTTAAAAATAATATTAATAATATTTCAATATAAAATTGCTTTTACCAATCAGACACAATGTGTTGAAGGTCCTGAGTACATTTCTGACTCGTTTTCTTTAAACAGTGATTGAGCAATACATTCTCACTCCGACCTTGTCACGTTTCAACATTGGTCATGGACATTCCATGTCAAGAAATGACGTGCAAGGTACCCTGGGTGAGTTGGTTATTGACGTTCTGGGACACCGTGTCAACTTCAGCCTGTTACATGCATTTTGTGTTTTCAAAATACACTTTTTCATGGGAAATGTACAGTTTGCATTCAGTCTCTTTCAAAAAAAAAAAAAAAATTGCACTACGTTGGTACAACACCGTGAATTGACGGGGGTGTTTTTTTTCCTTCTACAACATGCGCACATGGTTAGGTTTAGGGGGAAAAAAGCAGGATTTGGCTTTACAATCATACAAGAACCAAACTCCAGCTTTTTGGGTTAAAGTCATTGGTTTTTGGACCCATCCACCACCTTTCCTGCCCACCCTGCTCAGACCTCCGCCCCCTTAACTACTGCTGTTGTCCTGCCGTGTTTCCCTCTGATGCCGACAGACGCCATTACAATATAACATCAACTGGTCTTGTACCATGCTTGGACATTCTCTTCCTGGACGTCCATTAAAATGCATTACAGGAAGTCAGTTTCGTTCGGTTTTATGAGCTTTTTCTGAGATTTGAAGTTTAAAAATGGTCGAATGGTGTGCACGGGGTACATGCAACTCCATTAGTGTGAAAAGTGTCTCCTTTGGATAAAGTTGTGTGGTAACGTTAGACCACAACATCAACTCAATGTGAATAAGATTAACAATGATGTCTACATCTGTTCTAAGGTAAGTCAACATTGTGTTTGAGCCAACATATTGTAACTTTGCTGGAAAGAAATATAAAGTTATCTTTAACATCTCTAGCTAACGTTAGCTAAAGTTAGCCTAACGTTAGCTCCTAGCTGCGTTGTTCATCATGCCACCTTGTTTGCTGCTGAGTTCATTAACCTATTTTGTTCTAGTTTTGTACTTTGGTGATCGTACATCATTGTTAGCTGTTGTCCAAAGGGCTCTAGTTAAGCTAACGTTAACTTCTGGAGCTTAGCTTCATTAACTTATCTGTAATCGCAGTGATAACCAAGGTTGGCAAACGTTATGCTGAATGATTCAGTGTAAATACTGCAGCACCAAACTAACGGAGAGACACTCTTGGTAAAGATGGTAAAAAGGCCGTTATCCTTTTCTCCTAGGGTGACCATGTTTTGATTTCCAAAAAAGAGGACACTCGGCACGGCCACGAGATACTCGTGATACTCGCAGTTTACTCAAAGATGCCTTATAATTTTAATATATTTAAAGTTTATATGTATGGATAGAAAATTCAGTTATATTACAAAATAATATCTCTCAAAGACAGAAATTTAGATAGGCTTCTCAGAGGTTACTCAACATGCTTTTAATGTGCCTAAAATAATAATCTTTTTACAAGTTTCAATTGTACAAAAATAAATATAAATGTAAAATAAATGTAAAATCTCTGGAATGAAATAATGATAGAAATAATGTCTCTTCTGTATTAGAAAAATCAACTTGTAAAATAATAGCTATCTTTTCACGTCTTACTGGACAAATAAATAAATAATTAATAGGAAATAATGTTCTAAATGATAGCTCTTCTGTATTAGAAAATCCAACTTTGAGGTCCCCGGCACCTTTATTAGACACAGAATCATATGTGCCAGCTTTGCACACGGTGCACTCAGCCTCCCATATATCCCGACCGGGTCGGGACGGTAAATTGGGAATTTTTTCTGCAGTTCATCTGTGAAGCTGCACTTGCGCTTCGGCATCTTGGAAGCTTAGAATAATGCTGTGCCGTGGGTGTCTGTTGCTTCCTCGTTGTGAGTGTTGGGGATCCGCCGATAAGGCAGCCTCTTGGGGATTACGTGCGCACACACACACACACACACACACACACACACGCACACACACACACACACACAACAAAAACCGGACATTATCACCAATTTATAAAATGTCTGGAGCACAGACTGTATTAAAGAAAATGTTTTTTGCACCCGAACTTGGAATATTTATTTAGAAGATGACACTGAAACAGCAAGTGAGTATTCATTCTGTGAATGGAAGGTTAAAATGTGATGAAATATTAGTTGAATATGCTGATGTTGTTGGCCTCCAGGAAATATGAAAAATCAATGTGATAGATGTTTGGTATCCTCCATCCCTTTGGCAGTATTGTCGCTGTGAGAGAAGAAACTGTTTACAGGCTGACTTAATATTTGATTAGCTGCTGCACAGGACTGGACCTGCTGCAGTCTATTAAGGTTCTAGAAAATACACATTCAAGCAGAAGACAAAATGTCATATCATGTAAGTAAGTAAGTAAGTAAGTAAGCTTTATTTGTACAGCGCCTTTCACAGACCAGGGTCACAAAACACTTTATAATTACAACAAAACAATACACAGTTAAGAAGTACATACAAATTTAAATTAAAAAAGGCCAAGACAACCCAGTGACAATCATAGCAGCCCCAAGACAATTAAGCAAAAGCCTGAACAAATAAATAGGTCTTAAGTTGCCTTTTGAAGGAGTCAACAGACTCCATCGAACACAGAGAGAGCGGAAGATCGTTCCAAAGCCTGGGAGCAACAGCCTGGAAGGATCGGTCTCCTCTGGTCCGGAAACGAGTGCGCGGAACCATCAGCAGATTCTGATCCACAGACCTCAGAGCCCGAGTTGGGGTGTAAGGCTGAATCAGATCACTGATGTAAGGTGGAGCCTGACCATGCAAAGCTCTGAAAGTTAAAACCAGAATTTTAAAATTGATCCTAGAGGAAACTGGCAGCCAATGAAGAGCTTTAAGAATAGGGGAGATGTGTGTCCTCCTATTAGAGCGGGTCAGAATTCTCGCTGCAGAGTTTTGCACTAACTGCAGGCGAGACAGCTCCTTCTTGTTCAGACATGAAAACAAACTATTACAGTAGTCTAAACGCGAAGACACAAATGCATGAATGATCAGCTCCAAATCATTTTGTGACACCATTTTCCTAAGTTTGGAGATTTTCCTCAGCTGAAAAAAAACAATTTTTGTGAAAGCAGACTCATATTTCTGCTCCTTTGTCTTGTATTGTTATCATGTTAAATCAAGAACTAATATAAACTGACCTTATATTCATCTTTTGATATAATGTGATATGTTCCTCTGATAAAACAGTGCTGTTGTTTACACCAACATTATCCTGACAGTAAATTTCGAAGGCAACTTTCTCTTTTCCCTAAATCAGATGTAAAAAATATTTGTATAAATCCCCTCTCCCTTCTCCCAAAGCCATAGTCAGGATTTTACAAATACTGAAGTCCCCCTCACACGCACACACACACACACTTCCACTCCCTGACGACACTCCCAATTAATGCTACTCTAATCAATATTTTTTATACTGTGGATCAAGTGGATCAATGATTATTCGTCGTGTAAAAGAGGTTGCATTTAGTTACAAACCCTCAGAGAATTATCCCTCAGCGCACAGTGCATTAGGAGGTGATGGGCATAAACTGTGGCCAAATTAAATGTGTTCAAATTACGTGTTGGCAACACGAAAACAATGCCAGTGCAAAACTTACGTAACCGTTGCAGACTGATTAGAATAAATAAATGAATTTATTTTTATTAGTGTCATGCAAGCAGTTATGCCCAGCCAACATGGGGCTACAAGACACCATAAATCCAAAGCCCAGTCCAGCAAACATAAATTCAGGCAGCATTAAAGGGAAAGAAAATGGAACCAAGTTCGTGGATCTCTCACAAAGTGTGTAAAACTGAAAGGAAAAAAAAAAAAAAAAAAAAAAAAAAAAAAACTTTTTGCCTTTTTTTTCCCAGGCTTTAACAACAAAATTGGCAAATGTAAACCGAATATAAAATCTCTTAAGCCATCATAGTTTGTACAATATAAAAGAAAAGAGGACACTCTGTGTGATTTGGGTGAATATTGTTGAATCACCTGATCTTAATGGCCAGGGGAAGAATACCAGCTCTCAGCTGTACAACTATAAATCTTTGGCTTCTAGATAAACAGGATGTTATATATAGTTCAGAGCCACTTCTGATTTATATGCATATGTCCTTAATTTAGGCACTGACAAAATGTTTCCAAACCATTTTTTTTTTCAAATTTCAGTAAAAGCTTTTTCGTAATAGAGTTTACACTGCAGCATAAGTTATTCATGTAAATATGCATCATATCCACCTCCTCAAAGACTGAACAAAGCTCTTTTCCCATGGAGAACTATGTAAGATTTAAGGAAAGGAAAAATACTTGGTTAAGTTTAAAAACAGATTGTGGTTTCAGTAAACATAACTATATGTAAGTCATGTACTCTTGCATGCTTTATGTTGTTATGTTAAGTACCTACATAAAGTACTTTGAATGGTGAAGCTACTTTTTTTCTCAGGAGTTAGTAGAGACCAAAAACAGAGTTAAAACAGAGTGAATATTGGACTGATGGTTATCAGATAGATAAAAAAATTATTCCAAATTTATGCTAATGTTGCTCTGTGTCTGCTGGATGTGCTAATTTAGATTTGGTAAAAACCCACATCTTAAAGGACAGGCTCAGGTCAGGTGCCCGTACAAACAACAAGTCTAGCAGATCAAACAGTAAAATATGTTGCTGTTTCCGTAGCATTGCACAGAGACATTTTTTTTTAACAAAATTTAAAAAAGAAATCTAACTAGAGCCTTAAAAGGAAGTGAAACAATAATGAAATTAGGCTGTCAACATTACTAATAGGTCTAAAGATGCACACATTCATATGTTTTACCACAAGACGGCTACTCTGCAGGAGACAATTGATGATTATTTGGTACTTTAATTTTGTAGCTTTGGTGGTAGAATAAAATTCTCTGACTTTTCCTTATGGATTTGAAATCCATAGCCAGCCTAGCCAAAGCTAGACTCAAGACTAGTCACTGCTATTAAAGTTTGGCAAAATCTAGAGGAAAGGCACCAGGCCATATGTGTATGATGCACTTTTAGCTGACTAAATGTTAAAACATTTTTTATTCTGTGTATAGGCTACACAATTTTACAATTAGAATATAGGACCTTCTTAAGGCCTATAAAAATGAAAATAATATCAATTCTATGTGATTTTTTTTTTTTCGTCAAAGGCACAGGCAGCCACTGGCGAAGGGCCAAAGAACCTATGTATGAAAATATATTTCTTGGTTTATTTTTATTATGAATATGGGCAACAGGTGTGGCATGTCACATGACAGGCAGCACTATTAAGATGTATTTAAGATGGTGACTTTCTGATTCTGAATTTATCAGAAGTGTGAGGAAGAGCCGCAGGCTTGAAACATCACTCTGCATTAAAATCCTTGTAAATGGGAGCTGTTTGGTGTGCGGACTTATTTGTTTTGTACTTAGCTAAGCTTATGATTTGGGTCAAAATAAGTTGGGTTAGAGAAACCATAGACATATACGTAGACGCCGCATCGAGCGCTGAGCTGTACGTCAACGTCGCCGCCATATTGGATGTGGCAAGGCTGCACTGTAAACTAATACAAGTAAATGGACTTAATTTCATAAAGTGCCTTTCTACAAAGAAATTTACGTTAATGCCTCTCATTTATTCATTCACACACACACTAATATACTTGGGAAACAGTTAGGCACCAAAAACAATGTATTTGATCTACCTCTTGAAGCTCATGGAGAGAATGCCAAGAGTGTGCAAAGCAGTAATCAGAGCAAAGGGTGTCTATTTTGAAGAAACTAGAATATAAAACATGTTTTCAATTATTTCACCTTTTTTTGTTAAGTACATAACTCCACATGTGTTCATTCATAGTTTTGATGCCTTCAGTGAGAATCTACAATGTAAATAGTCATGAAAATAAAGAAAACGCATTGAATGAGAAGGTGTGTCCAA